CACACACACACACACACACACACACACACACATTCTCTCTCTCTCTCTCTCATTCACACACTAAATGTTAAAAAATGTGAAAACTTTCTAAGAGCACCATCTCTCTCTCTCAGCCACCACTAACCTCTGCCTTCTATTACTGCCATTTAGATTCTAATACTTGCTACACAAGTCCAAATGGACTGCAGTGACTCCTGGTTACATGCAAACGTCACTTCTCAGTTTTCCTCCTTTGCTCCCTGTGGGGAAAACATCTCTTGTCTACTTTCATCTTTTCCTGAGAACCTTTCTTTTTGTTTGGTTCTTCCTTACTTAATGTAAGAATAATTTCTTTGCTTTTTTCTCTAGGTAACTGGCAAAATATTTTTATTTTATAGGTTCTTACCAAGTTATTTAGAATATTTTCAAACTCCATTCTTTTTTGAGGTATTTTGTTTTGTTTTCCTCCAAAGCATTAAACCAACTTTTATTTACTCCTAAAGTATTTAAAATTACAAGAGACCTTTACTTACTTGGTTTGGTATTAGCCGTTTCTGGGCCAAGGTCTTGAGATGTCTCATGTATATTTAGAAGAGCTCTACCATCTAGGGGAACGTTGACGTCCTTCAAACCAAAGTGTCTATTTCGCTCATATTCCTTGTACCTATTTTCTTTCTGGGACAGTGATTTCCTATGAGCAATTTTAGTTCTGATCATTTCAGTACTTGAATCTTTCCGGTGACCACTGGTAAAACGTGATAAAGACATCCTGTCAAAAAAGAGAGAAAGAGAAGCCAACTTAAATGAATTTTCATCTTATTATTTAAATTAAGATTTCAAAGCCAGGCATGGCAGCTCACCTATAATATACCAACACTTGGGAGGCACAAGCAGGCAGGTGACTATTAGTTTGAGGCCACTTTGGGCTACACAGTAAGACCTTTCTCAAAAAACCAAAATGAATGACTTACAAAATCCAAAAAAAAAAAAAAATGAATAAATAGATTTCAGTCCATCTCCTATCCTGCTTTAGGGTCCCTTGAAATGAAAATCTTAAAATGCATGATGGAATATGTGAGCAGTAAATATGAAAGTAGAAAAGGTTATTAAAGGACAAAATACTGTGACCTCTTTGGGGGTTCTGAATAGTAAGCCGCTTGGCAGATGAAATGAAGCAGAGAAAAACCATAGTCTAGAATAGACTAGGGATAAGTGGTGCTGGGATCACCACACAGAGCAGAAAAAGACTAATGTTGAGTGAAGTGAAACGGGGGAAAGGACTGCGTACGGAACAGTCTCCTTAATCTTCCCTGGTGACAAATACAGGAACCCTAGAATTTCTTCTCAATTCAAAGCAAAAGTGGGCTGCACGATGGCCAGGTGGCAAAGCAGAGCACCTGCTGCACAAGCATGAGGACCTGATTTCAGATCGTCAGCACCCACAAAAAGCTGGGCACAGCAGAATCTGTCTACGATTGTAGTGACGAAGGAAGCAGACAGGTAGCTCCCTAGAGCTCCTCTGCCAGCCAGCCTAGCTGAATGGATAAGCTCCAGGTTCAATGAGACACTTCGTCTCAAAAAATAAGATGGAGGGGCTGAAGAGATAGTTCAGCAGTTAAGAGCACTTGCTGCTCTTCCAGAGGACCTGAGTTTGATTCCCAGCACCCACATCAGGTGGCTCATAACTGCCTGTTACTTCAGCTCCAGGGGATCTGATGCCTTCCTCTGGCTTCTGTGGGCAACTACACAAACATGGCACACACACACAAATAAAAACCTTAAAAAACCAAACTAGAAAGCAACTAAGGACATATACATAGATAAAAATAGAAATCTTAAAAAACAAAAAACAAAGTGGAGAGCAACTAAGGAAGACACCTGACACTGGCCTCCACCACGTACTCACCCACATGTACACACAGGTACCTGCACCCATACCCCCCACACACATACAGAAGCAAAAACAATCCCAGCAATAGCAATTGGGAGGTTGAGACAGGAGGCTCAATGGGAGGTCAAAGCCAGACTGGGCTACAGAGTTAAATCCTATCTCAAATCCACCTATAACACCCACTCCTAAAATAGCCAAGGCCAGCCTCAGCTATATAGGGTGTATGCTAGACAGATTTAGTTGTCAACTTGACACACCTGGGTTGAGAAAGCCTCGATTGGGGAACTGCCTCCATTGCACTGGCCTGTGGCCATGTCTGTGGGGCTTTTTGATTGCTGAGTGATGGGGAAGGGCCCAGCCCACTGCTGGTGGTGCCACCCCTGGACAGGTAGTCATGTATTGTATAAGAAAGCAGACTGAGCCATGAGCCAGTGGAGCAAACCAGTAAGCAGTGTTCCTCCATGGCCTGTGCTTCAGCTCCTGCCTCCAGGTTCCTGCCCTGAGTTCCCACCCTGAGCTCCCTCGATAAATGATGACCTGGGAGATGTAAGATAAACAGACCCTTTCCTCCCCAAGTTCATACTGGTCAGAATGTTTTGTCACAGCAATTGAAGGCAAACTAGAACAGTTGAAACTGTCTGAGCTACATGAGACCTTGTCTCAATACCCCCTCCATCAAAATAAAGTAAGCAAACAAAACACAAGATGCCTATTGGACATGTAAGGATAATAAATAGGCAGTTGGATATTCAAGATTCAAAGAAAGGAGTTTTTTGAGAAGTCCGTGATGATGCAGATGATAAGGTTATCAGTTTGCTCCATTATTTTTACCCCTGTAAGAAATCCTATTTTGCAATATCCTCTCCTTAGAAAGTTCTCTGATAATATATTCAAGCAAAACAGGGGAGAAGGACAATAAAGACAATCTTATGATTTTCAAATCTAAGTGGAAAGTTTGAAGGACCACCTATGCACCTACAGTGAACTGCCAAGTCCAACTAGAGAAAGAAATGGCTCTCCAAATCACAGTTAACAATAATACAAAGTCAGACACGGTGGCACACACTTATAATACCAGCCTTTGGGAGATAGAGGCAGGAGGATCTGGAGTTTAAGATCATCCTTGGCTACACACTCATTCAAGGCTAACCTGGGCTACATGAGGCCCTGTCTCCTAAAAAAATCAAATAGGAAGAAAAGTTAACTAGAGGTTTAAAAAAAAAAGTTACAGGGCATGGTGGTACATGTCTTTAATTCAAGCACTCAGGAGGCAGATCTCTCTGATTTAAGATCTCTGGTCTATATAACCATACTCTAATAGCACACTTCCATCATCAAACAAGCAATTGATTTTTCAGTGGACACAAGAAGCAGATCCTCCAAGTCAATCAAATTCTGAATCTATTTGCCTGGAGACAGCATTTAAACACTACAGGTTAAAGGCTACCAAGGGGTTGCCAACTGTCAGTCAATTCATCAGTGCATAAAAGACTTACCACTTAGAAGGGTCAGAATTTTAGGAGTTGCACACTAAAGCAACAGGGGCAAAGACCAAATACACATTTCACAATATCACAAGTACAATATATATACTGGATAGCTTCGGTTGTCAATTTGATACACCTAGAACAAGGGAAAAGCAATTGGGAAATTGTCCTCTATGGGACTGGCCTGTGGGCCTGTCTGTGAAGTATTCTCTTGATTGTAGAGTGATAACGAGGACCCACCCCACTGTGGGCGATGCCATCCCTGGGCAGGTGGTCCTGTGTTGTATAAGAAAGCAGGTTGAGAATGGGCCAGGGGAGCAAGTCAGTAAGCGGCATTACTCCCAGTGGTCTGTGGTCAGTTCCTGCCTCCAGGGTCCTAACTTGGCTCCCCTCCATGATGAACTAGTAGCTGTAAGTTGAAATAAACCCTTTCCTCCCCAACGTGCTTTTGGTTGGTGTTTCATTACAGCAACAGAAGAGGCAAACAAGAACAATATACTTTTCAACAAGAACTAGTAAAAAGTCCACAAAACCCATCTCCAGACTGAAAAAAGTAGTTGGCATGAAAAAAAAGCAACATATGAAATGTTTTTAAACATTAACATAGTGTAAGGGAAGACTAGTCTAACCTAGAAGCCAAGACCTTCTCTCAAGAGCCCAGAAGTGGCAATGGACTGCTTTTCGCGGAGACTGTCATTTGTTACCTCCTGTAAGTATTAAGTTGTTAAATCTTATAGGAAAGCTAAATAAGGCTTATATTATTTTTAAATACTGGGAGGAGGGCGAGGGCGCGCGCGTGAAAGCGGGCTGGCATTAAAGACGTGTTCGATCATCGCCCTAGAAGGTAACTACTGTAATCGCCATTGTGCAGATGGGCAAATCAGCTGCCCACATCAGCACATCTGTGGTCTGTCTGCTGTTTTATTTCTAGAAGGCGTTCGTCTCGCGGGCCTGGAGACTCTGCCCAGGCGCTTCCACCACGTCCAGAAGGAGCTCGGGGAACTGACGTCAAACGAGAAGCCCTGGGCCGCCAGGAAGGCCAGCGAGGCCAGGCGCCCAAGCGCAGAGCTCGGGAGCCGCCGCCAGCGCCGCGCGGCCTCCCCGGCCCTTCTCAGCCCGTCCCCGGAGGCCGGCCGGCGTCTCCCCCGCATCCCACCGACCTGAAACTCCTTGGAGCGCGAAGACCCCACCAGCTCAACGCAGAGAAACCTCTCCAGCGAACGACCGCCGCCAGGTCCCAGCACGAACGCCCACAAGCCGAGCCTGCGCAGAATTCAAACTTCCCGCACCCAGCTTCTGATTGGAGGAGCTTTAACCAACACTTCCGGGGAAAAGCTCCGTCCCTTCCCCTCCGATGAGCCTGGCGATAGGTTGGCTGTGTGCGATATTTGAATTGATTGAAAGGTGGAGGGATGGTTCAGGGGACCTTGTGAGGGTGGAAAATGGGCTGAACTCGGGATGTGCCTAGTCCGAGTGGAGAGGGCGTGAGCCGGGGTGGGACGTCTCCTCGCATGGGCGGCCTCCGGGTAGGCCGAGTCATATATATTCATATATACGTATATATTCATACACATATACATACATTTATATGATTGACAGGCTGGAGATGCAGGTCAGTTGGTAGAGTGCTTGTCTAGCATGCATGAAGCCCTGGATTTGATCCCCAGCACCATATAAACTAGGTTTGGTGGCACACACCTGTAATCCCAGCACTAGGGAGGTGGAGGCAGGAGAATCAGAAATTCAAGGTCATCGTTAGCTGCGTAATCAGCTTCGGCTACGTGAGCTTCGGATATATATATATATATATGTATATGTATATGTATATATATATGGTAAAGCATAACATATGGAAAGAATGTAACATTGCATGTATAAATACTTGTCACCCCTGGGAAGGGGGAACCTCAATTGAAGAATACCCTTCATCAGACTGGCCTGTGATCATGTCTGTGGAGTATTTTCTTAATTGCTTATTGATGTAGAAGGGCACAACCCAAGGTGAGCAGTGTGACCCTAGGTAGGTGGGCTCTTGCCCTGGCTTCTCTTGAGGAAGCACTGTAACCTGGAAGTCAAATAAACCCTTTCTTCCCTAAGTTGATTTTGGTCAGTGTTTTATCACAGCAACAGAAAGCAAACTAGAACACCCATACATATGTGCAAATACACAGATGTACATATACACATAAAATTTTAAAAACCTTTTTTTAAAAAAAACATCCCTTTACTTGGATGAGTTTTCTGCATCTCTGTTTCATTATCCACCTGATAAAATTATTGGGAGGAGTTGGGTATTGTGACCAAGAGCTTTAATCCTAGCACTTGGGAGCTGAGGCAGGAGAATTATAAATTTGATGCCAGCCTGGGTTACTGAGTGGAGACACCCTGCC